GAGGTTTTTCATGGCACCTGGCTACTTCTCTTACTGGATCGAGCTCCTAAAGGAAGAACTATGTCTTGCTTCTTACTTTGACTGTTGTGGGGCTGTCTTATGCACAGTAGGATGGTTAAAGTGTCCCGGGTACTGTAGGATGTTTAGCAGCACCCCTGGCCTCTGCCCACTACATGCCAGGAGCATCCTCCACCCTCTGAGTCGTGACAACCAAGAAGTCCCCAGACTTTGCCAAAGTCACTCCTTCGAACACGCAGCTAGCACTTTGTGGGCTCACAGAGAGTGTTGAAGAAATGCCTGCTGGCTATCCCTGCAGACAGCATTAGATAAAGAGCCAGAACCTCCAACCTGGCTGCCTCTTGGCACACCCTGGTCATGTGACTGGACAGTTCATCTACGTCTCTGAAGCCTAGTTTCCCTGAAGATACAACCATTGGTCTCTACTTGTCCGGAGCAAAAGAGTAAGAAGGAAACCAACCACTCAGAGAAGAAATTAGTCCAGAGGACAAAGAGTCTACACAAACCTCGGCCTCATCTCCCCTGAGACCAGAAGAACTAGATGGTGCCTGGTTACCGCTGGTTCCAACCAAGGCCACAATTAGACGGATCTGGATAGATTCGGGGAAAAACGGGGAACAGAACCTCAAAGTTCTAAACAAACAAAAACAAACAGACCTACCGGACGGGCTAAGACTGGAGGACTCCCCAGGACTATCGTCCTGAGATACTCTTCAAACGTTGAACTGAAACTAACCCCTGAGGTCACGTTTCAGCTACTATCAGATTGGCTCAAAAAATAATGAATACCACCCATAAGTCCTTTGCACCTTTAAACCACCATCTATAGGAGACCAAATGGTCAACAATCATGTTAAAACAAAGATGAGAAGGTAGGGAGATAGGGAAACTAGATGAACGAAAATGGAATAACCAGAATTGAAATAACGAGATGTTCACGCATGGTGAAGAACGTAAACAAAGTCACTAAACAACTTGTGTAGAAATTGTTGAATGGGAACCTCAACTGCTGTGTAAACCTTCAACGAAAACACAATAAAATATTACTTTAAAAAATAGGCCCAATATGGTATAAAACAATATCTAAGAAAGAGCCTTATGAGCTAAAAAGTCTGAGAGCTTATCCCAGACATTCAGCAAGCCCAGGCACACGCTATGAAAGTGCACTGGCGCAGTGCTGCCACCAGATGGCACCACAGGACCTCCAGAAGAAAACCTCCCAGGAGCTGGTCCTGAAGACCAGCCGCCGCCCCGGAACCAAGTCCGGTGCCCTGCAAGTTTGCAGGTCAACAAACAGCGCAGTAAAAGAAAGGCCATCAACAGACCACTCATGCAGGAGTCCCTGGGTGGCGCAAATGGTTAAGCGCTTGACTAATAGCAGAGGTTGGTGGTTCAAACCCTCCCAGAGGTCCTTGGAAGAAAAGACCTGGTGATCTACGGCTGAAAGATCGCAGCTTGAAAACCCTATGGATCAGTTCTATTCTGCACACGTAGGGTTGCCATGAGTCGGAATTGACTTGATAGCAACTGGTTTGGGTTTTCTGGTGTATCTGATATGGAGTCCCTGGGTGGTGCAAACGGTTAATGCATTCGGCTGCTAACTGAAAGACTGGTGGTTCGAGCCCACCCAGAGGCCTGGTGATCTACTTCCAAGAAATCAGCCGTTGAAACCCTATGGAGCACAGCTCCGCTCTGACACATACGGGGCTGCCGTGAATTGCAATCGACTCGAAGGTAACTACCAGTAACAGCCCACTCACGCAGGTCACTTTTCCTGGCAATGATGGTGGTGCAGTGGGGACACTGGTACTTGGGGACGTTCTCGCCGTGCTTCTGCAGAATGTGTATCTTCATGGTGCCGCTCTGGGTGAACCGTGCGTGGCAGACGTGGCACTCGTACGGCTTCTCACCTGTGACAACACCACAAATCACCAAGTCGTGACAGAGGACACCTGGAGCCGAGAGCGTCTCCTCTGTTCCCAGGGCTTCCTCCAACCCCCTCCCTGTGCGTTTAAACCCCAGGTGGTACAGGTCAAGCACAGGTGCCCGTGTCAAGTGCAGCTGTGTTGACCAGGCCACGATTTGCAACCTTCCGAACATCTGGAGGCTGCTCTTCACCTTCAGGACACAGCTCTAGTGCGTATCCACGGGGCTGTACACTCGGGGCCCGTGAGTGGATTCCGACTCCTAGCGACCCTATGGACAGAGTAGAACTGCCCCGCAGGGTTTCCAAGGCTGTGAATCTT